TCTCTGTCAAATGAATAAAATCTTTAAAAAAAAAAAAAAAGGTACTACATCTCATTCGTTTCTCTATTTCTCCAAATTAAATGTTGAGTTGAACTGAATTGAACTCCGGTTCTGGTTCCATCATTCACTAGACACACATCATAGAGAAATCATTTATGCCCCTCAATCAGTTTCCTTTTCTACCCTACCTCACAGGTTAGTTGGTGAATCAAATGGCATTGTTTTCAAATTTGTTGGTTGCAAAGGGCCTAACAAAAATCATTTTTCTCTTTGTGAAACACCATAAAATACTCATCAATATATTTTCATCATATGCAACAAGACTTTACTAGCAGAAAACATGGTTATATTATATAAATGGAGTTCTCCACATCTCAAAAAATATGAAAACATATCTGAATCTCTGTTAATATTTGTTTTCATCAAGTAAACCTGATGGGAGAAAAACCTGAAATTTAGAAAAGTCTATCCATTAACTGAGTATCTTTCTAAAATGTGGAAGATTGCACTTAATAAACTTGAGGAGAGGTTCAGCTCTAGGATCACCAGTGTTCCAAGGGCATATGGCTTGAGAGGCACTGAGATAATGGATGGAAAAGCACTCTGAAAATGGAAAGGGATCACTACTATTATTCGTATCAAACATGGCTCCCTCTAAAACTCTGACATGGTTGTAACTCAGCAGAACGGGCAAGGCAGAATGAGACCGGTGGGCGGGCAACGAGGGCGCTCAAACAGCACAGACTGAGGGAGGTCAGCACAGGAATCACTCTCTGTGTCTGGAAAAGTTCTGGGGAACTCTTTTATGTTCTTTACAGCCCCAGTGTTTCCCAGTGTACCCCAAGCAGCTGGATACTCCAAAGGTCAGTTCACTTTACATACTCAGTGTATGAATACAGGCGGCCTTTGGTAAATGTTTGTTGAAGTGACCTCCATAACACCTTCACTGACCCTTTCAGGGAGAATTGCTTCCTTAACTCCGTTCTCTTGATATTTAGTTCATTCCCCTAGTAAAGCACTTACCACGTGTAGTTAGTTACATTTTTGAGCACTATCTTTCCTAGCCTGCTGTATGCTTTTGGTAGGAAAAGACTGTGTCCCATTCACCTAATTTGTGCTCACACAGTGCCTGGCATATAGTAGATGCTCAATAATCATTTTTCTTTTCAATGAGTTACAGGAGGTAGACTTGAGGAAAAACATGGATGCTTCCCTAGTCAGTCCTATAATCCATGTCTAGCCCTACAGTTACTGCACCAGCAAAAACCGATCTTTCTTTCCCCAGGAAGCTAGGACTGTCACCATAAAGTGATTCTGATCTGCTGATTTTTCTGGGAACGATGCCACAGTCTCCTCACAGACTTGTGGCTGTGGCAGCTAATCTATCTATGGGTATTACAACAAACTAAATAGGTGTCATAAATGACAGACACCTCCTCTATGTCAACAGTGCAAACAGTTTCCAAGGGAAAAGACATCTCTGACTCCTAGGGGGCCATTCTCTAAAGAGGAAGTAAATTGCCTACATTACAAAAGATACACATTACTCTCTTGCCCCAGGGCCTAGAAAATAGAACACAGAACAATTATAAATGACAGCAATTTATGTTGCCTCCATTCCATCCTCCCACATCTTCCTCTTAGCAATTCTCTGTTTCTTGGATTGTTATTACCCCAAGATTGAAGGCAGGACAACAGCTGAGGGCAAGAAAGTGGTCTTAGGAGAAATAACCTAGCACTCTACAAATACGAAGGACTACACATTTATTTCTATGAAATAAAAATCACTCCAAACAATCTGAAGCCTTTTAAATTCAACAGAGTGATTCAGGGCCCTTGAGGAAATAATGAGGTCTATACATTGAGACACAGTGTTAGGTCTGGAGATGAGCTCCGAAACATGATCCCTCACTGCCACAGTCAAGCTGGGTCATACAGCATGTAAGATTACACCAGCAGAAATGAGACAAGGTCTGGGCACTTGGTGCATGAGAATTAACTTTTGTCTTAGTGATGGGGGGCTCAAGAGAGGAGAGGACCCAGCCTAGGACCCAGAGAAGAAAAAACAGAATCTGGCTGCTTATTGTTTTTTCTAAGATCTATGCTCAGGGAGAGAAAGGGGGCCACAGGATGCCTTCTAGCCTTTCTAGCCCAGTTCCCCAGTAGGGTAGAAGAGACAGGGACCTGGGATAGAGCCTCTGCAAGCTGGCAGATAGATGAGAACGTTCATGTACTGTCCCATGCAGGAAGCAAGGAGCCTGCAGCAGCTTTCACTACTATCTGGCTAGCCACCCAGGGACAATGAATGACATCAGAGAAAAGCCTACAACCCTAACCAAAGAGAGCATCACTCCCTTCAAGCAACCAAGGTCATCTGGAGCCAGCTGTTTGCAAATATTAGGTTGTTTTTGCCAGCTCTGATTTATAGAACCTTGGGGCAGCTCCAATAACCACACATCAGTTCAGCTTAATCAATATTTACTGTCCTCTACTTGATGCCAGGCCCTCTGCTGCAAACTAAGGATACAAAGACATGGCCTCTACTCTTAGAGAGCTCACCATCTAGAAGGGGAGATGGTCATCAAACAGACCATTAAAACACAGCAGTAAGTCGTATTACAGAAGAAGCACAAGGAACTCTAGCAGCTCATGGTAGGACAAGTAATCCAGTGCTGGGAATCCAGGAAGGTTTCTCAGAAGGGGAGCTTCATTTTTCCCCCCCTTCACCCTGCTTCCTCACTAGAATTTATTTTATTTTATTTTATTTTTTTATTATGCTATGTTAGTCACCCTACAAGTACATCATTAGTTTTTGATGTAGTGTTCCATTATTCATTGTTTGCATATAACACCCAGTGCTCCATGCAATACATGCCCTCCTTAATACCCGTCACCGGGCTAACCCATCCCACACTAGAATTCAAAGGTTGAGGATGTATTAGCCAAGTGAAAAGAAAGAAAAGAGAAACTTGGAGAAGATATTCCAAGTAGACAGAATAGCCTTGAAACAGTATGTGTTTCATAAAGAGACTTGCGAGGCCTTGAAACGGTATGATAATTTGGATAAAAAGCAAGGGGCTCAATGCAGTTAGAGCATAGTATACCTGAGATGGGAGAGGAAACTAGGGAGAAAGATAGGGGCAGATGGCATTAATATGATATTAGGCTTCCTCTTATACCAAACTACAGAGCAGGTCAGAGCATGGCATACACAGAAAATTATCTTTTAAGATGGAGGATCCCTGGATGCCTGCGTGGCTCAGTCAGTTGAGCATCTGCCTTCGGCTCAGGTCATGATCCCAGCATCCTGGGATCGAGTCCTGTATCTGGCTCCTTGCTCAGTGGGGAGCCTGCTTCCTCCTTCTGTGTGTGTGCTCTCTCTCCCTCTCTGACAAATAAAATAAAATCTTTAAAAATAAATAAAAGATGGAGGATCCCAATAAATTAACAAAAAGCCAAGGAACACACACCCAAACCAAATGAATTTTATTTCCTACTAATTTATACGGGACTGTTAGAAGAGGGATATCCCAAAATAAAACAACTCCAACAACTACTCTAAGGTGTCACAACTCAGAAAGGGTGTAAATCACTCCTTCTTTTGAATTTTATTAGCACTTTGTATCTTCTTTTTAGCACCTGTCACTTTCTGCTGAGGAGCATAATTATCTGTGTCTTACCTCTAATAGTTTACCAGCTCTCTGAGCATGTTCATTCATGCTTGTTCATTCATCCTCTAAAATTTTATTACAACCCAGTCTGAATAGGCAAGGCACCCTCAACAATGCCTACCACATAAGAGATGTTCGATAAATGTTTCAGAGCATCAGAATTACATGATATCAGAGCTGAAAGACTCAAAGATATTCTAATCCAGTTTCTCAGGCTTTATGAAGACTTTGATAAAAGCTATGGACTCTCTTCCCAGAAAAAAGATCACACATAGAAAACATTTTACATATAATTTCAGGGCCCACAACGCCCAGAGGGTTAAGGTTAATTTTCCAAAGTCGTGAGGGTGTAATAAGTGGCGTAACTAAGCCTACAAGCTTCCTGGTTCCCAATTCAGTCCTCTTCCCACTACAAACTACAAATGAACAATTTTAATTGGGCTATTTCCTGCTGGGAGGCTGTCTATTATAAGCCTCAGATGTGACAATGATCCTCTCATGAAATTCCTTGCTATAAGGAGGATGCTCAGGAGAACATGGAAAGTTTAGTGGCTTCTGAGACCCAAATACAGTGGTACTGACCTCTGCCAACGAGAGAAAGGGGCAGCAGGAAATGTTCATGGTTACATGGGAGCATTACAATAAACCAAAGAGGCAAAAGTGATGTTGAAGTCTCCCTAAGTAGAAGAGCAAAATCCTTCTAAACTGTACTGTTTACAGGAAATGACAGAATCATGACTCAAAACCAGACTTTCTGATTTTCAGGCCGGTGTTGTGTCCACCTCACCACAAAATCCTCTGCACACGCACAGAAATCAAACCACCATAGAAGCAATACGGTAGCTCTGGAAATCCTAAGAAATGGGCTAAATAATCTTATAATGCTTAAAACTAACACCCAGTTATCTGTGATAATGGATTCAAGGAACATAAACATCTTTTAAATCTGCAAATACTATAAAACTATTTGGCTGAAAATGCCATTCCACCTCTACTCGCCACAAACCATTCATTCAACTTAAGTGAATGTATCATTTATTGTGAGGTCCATGCTGAATAAGTACTAAGAAGATTTTTTTTTTTAAGTACCACAAGTAATGAAACCAAATCATTGGCTTTTCACTGTGTTAACCTGGTGTAGGGACAAGATTGAGAGCTGGCAGAAACACCTCACTGTAGATAACTTCCAAACAAAATAACTGGAGAGGACTCAAGGGTAATCCCAATATTATCTCTACCTCCAATGTTATCAGCCCAATGCAAATCTGATCTGCAGTTTTTGGAAAAGATGCACACTATCCTCTTCTAAAGGACCCTGGCTCCCTTTACCTCCTGAGCTTTAACTAGGTGCTTGTATCTTCCAATGCCATGGGTAGGCTTTGTCTTGTAGTGCCGACTGGTACCCATCAGAATGCCACCTAAAAGACAGAAAATAAGACAAACCTGTTTCAAAGCTCCTGCAGGATAGACCACACGTGAGGAGACAAATTCTCCACCACAAGACTAGGAATTTTTGGGATAGTGGGTCTCCTGCTGGTTTAAAGAACCAGAGCCAGGGCTCAGGTCATGATCCCAGAGTCCTGGGATCGAGCCCCACATCGGGCTCCCTGCTCAGCGGGAAGCCTGCTTCTCCCTCTCCTGCTCCCCCTGCTTGTGTTCCCTCTCTCGCTATGTCTCTGTCAAATAAATAAAATCTTTTAAATAAATAAATACATAAATAAATAAATAATAAAGAACCAGAGCCGTTTCTTGACCCTGGGCTGACTCTCAGTTTACCCCCTTTTTCTCTCCTCTTGGCTCCTGGACTATATTCACTCCCCACTACCTATTTTTCTTTGAGAAATTCTCTCCTGCTATAGCCACTGGTGCTAAGAGGACAAAATACATTCTCACAGTGTTCTTGTTTTCACTTGTTCCTCCAATGCCAATAATCCTTTTGAAGTTTTCTAATGTGGATCATACAGAGAAAGAGATGAGTGGCAAATACAACAAGGTAAGAGGACAATCACAGATTTCCACAAAGTTTTACAAACCATCTATTTGATTTATTTGTGCTAATATGGAACAACTGCCAATACACACTGCTAAGTAAATAACAACAAAAACAAAAAGCTAAGGTACAGAACACTGTGTGTGTATACTACTACCAAGTATAAACTAAGATCTCCATACACATAGTTATTGTGGTAGACCCAGAGATGCACCACTTGGATCCATCTTCAAGGAAGGACTTTAATCTTCATTATTTTAAGATTTTGTTTATTTGAGAGAGAGAGAGAGAGCACAAGTGGGGTGAGGGGCAGAGGGAGAAGCAGACTCCCTGCTGAGCCGGAGCCTAATGGGGGGGCTTGATCCTGGGACTCCAGGATCATACCTGAGCTGAAGGCGGAAACTTAATTGACTGAGCCACCTAGGTGCCCCTAATCTTCATTATTTTTATCCTTGTTTACAAATAAAGAAACTGTAGCTCAACACATGAAAAGATGCTCAACATCACTCATCCTCAAGGAAATGCAAATCAAAACCACAATGAGATAACACCTCATACCTGTCAGAATGGCTAAAATAAAAAACACAAGGGGGCGCCTGGGTGGCTCAGTCGTTAAGCGTCTGCCTTCGGCCCGGGTCGTGATCCCGGGGTCCTGGGATCGGGCCCCGCGTCGGGCTCCCTGCTCCGCGGGAGGCCTGCTTCTCCCTCTCCCACTCCCCCCGCTTGTGTTCCCTCTCTCGCTGTGTCTCTCTCTGTCAAATAAATAAAATCTTAAAAAAAAAAAAAAAAAACAAAACACAAGAAACAGCAAGTGTTGGTGAGGATGTGGAGAAAAAGGAACACTTGCGCACTGTTGGTGGGAATGCAAACTGGTGCAGCCACTGTGAAAAGCAGCATGGAGTTTCCTCAAAAAGTTAAAAATTGAACTACCTTATGATCCAGTAATCACAGTGCTGGGTATCTACCCAAAAAATATAAAAACACTAATTCAAAGGGATACATGCACCCCTATGTTTTTGCAGCACTATTTACAATAGCCAAATTATGGAAACAGCCCAAGTATCCATCAAATGATGAATGGATAAAGGACATGTGGTATATATAACAGAATATTATTCAGCCATAAAGAAGAATGAAATCTTTTTTTTTTTTTTTTTAATTTTTTTATTCTTATGTTAATCCCCTTACATTACAACATTAGTTAAGAAGAATGAAATCTTGCCATTTGCAACAACATGGATGGATCTAGAGAGCATAATGCTAAGTGAAATAAGTCAGTCAGAGAAAAACAAATACCATATGATTTCACTTATATATGGAATTTAAGAAACAAAACAAATGAGCAAAGATAAAAAAGAGAGAGAGACAAACCAAGAAACACTCTTAACTATAGAGAACAGGGATGCCTGGGTGGCTCTGTCAGTTAAGTATCTGCCTTTGGCTCAGGTCATGATCCCAGGGTCCTGGGATCAAGTCCCACATCTGGCTCCTTGTGCTCAGCAGGGAGCCTGCTTCTCCCTCTGCCTGCCGCTCCCCCTGCTTGTGCTCTCTCTCTCTCTGACAAATAATAAAATCTTAAAAAAATATATATCAACCACAGAGAACAAACTGATGGTTATCAGAGGGGAGGTGGGAGGGGGCATGGGTTAAATAGGTGATGGGGATTAAAGAGTACACTTATCCTGATGATCATCACCCAGTGGTGATGTATGGAATTGTTGAATCACAATATTGTACAGCTGAAACTAATATAACACTGTATGTTAGCTATACTGGAATTAAAATTAAAAGCTTAATTTAAAAAAAAAAGAAACTGTAGCTCAAAAAATATGGTGAAATGGCCAAGGTCATCCAGCAAGTAAAAGGCAGAACTGCAATTTAAACCCAGGTCTATCTGGCTGAACGGCCTGTGCACAGGTGGATTCTCATACATCTGAATTTCTGGAATATAAAATCTAGCTAGATGTGAACTTTCCTAGTTCAGATCATAGTTTCTTATCTCTACCCTCTCACTGGAACCAGCCCCACACAGTTCTTCTATGTCTGTCTCTCTTGCTCACTCTCTACCTTCTGGAGAAGTATTAATCCTAGGTTCTGCTCCCTTTCCTCCCAGCCCCTATAGTCCTGCCCTCATCTTCCCAGGTCCACCATTCCATGGGGAGGCTAAAAAGAAAATGGTGTGGAGAAGTGAAATGTTTCTTAGGCTTCTCTTTTCTAAAATGGGCTTCCAAGCAGGTCTGCTCTATGCCAGGCCAGTCAGAGACTGGCATCAGAGCCAATAATGCATTTATAATCCACACTATTTCATCAAGACAAACCCTGGATATCATGGGTCCCTTCCATGATATGCATTAGTCCACATTTACTACTGCATGCCAACAACACTGGGACAAAGATGACTAGAATATGTCACTTTCGCTGGAGACACTCAGTGTGTACTAGGGAAGGATGCTGGAAAGCAGATAATCACCTTACGGTGGACAAACTCCTTTAACAGAGATGAGAGCAAGGCAGTGAGTGTCTGGAAGAAGGAACAATGAACCTGCCTTGGTCGGGGGAGGTGGTGGGAGTAGGGGAGGGTAAGGGGAATAGGTTCAGAAGAGGTAACAAATGCATTCTTGCAAGAGGAGTAAGAGTTTACCATGCAAGGAAGAAGGAGGTATTTTTGGCAGAGGTTCCAAAAGAGCACTGAACACAACTGAGGTATCTTCTTGGCTGCTATCCCAATTCTGTCTCTCTAAATCTAAGACCTTGGACCCTTCGAGCCTTCAGGTTCCAGCTCTGCAGCACAGAGCTGACAGTCTATGGGAGGAGGGAATCATTAATGGAACAGTCACAAAATAAATATAAAATTACCAAATGTGATAAATAAAAAGAAAAAGCACAGAGGGCTATGGCAATACAATTGGTGGATCTATTTTCGACAGGAGTATCGGAGAAGGTCTCTCTGAAAAAAAACATGTGAACTGAGACCAGAATTCAGAGCAAAATAGTGGTTATCCCCAGGGAGGGGAAGTGGCTAGAAGGCAGGAGGAGAGGGAGACTTAACTGCTTATTTTATACTCTTTTGTTATCATTAAAACTTGTTCCAAGTACATGTATTATTTATTAAAAATAAATAAACAAACTGAAACCTGAAAGTCAAAGAGGAATTTATTAGGTGAAAAGATTGAGGATGAATGTTCCAGGCAGAGGGAATAGCAGTGCAAAGGCCACCAGTTGGCACGTTCAAGGAAAAGAAAGGCTGTCACTGTGGCTGAAGCAAAGTGAGAAGGGCACAGAGTATACCAGAGACCAGAGCAGTGAGTGGGAAACACACCACACTAGGCCTTGTAAAGGATTTGCATTTCAAGCTGAGCAGCCATAAGCAGGGTAAGTATATGCCTGATATGTTTTTAAAAGATCACTTTGGGGGGTGCCTGGGTGGCTCAGTTGGTTAAGCGACTGCCTTCGGCTCAGGTCATGATCCTGGAGTCCCTGGATCGAGTCCCGCATCGGGCTCCCTGCTCGGCAGGGAGTCTGCTTCGCCCTCTGACCCTATCCCCTCTCATGTGTTCTTTCTCTCTCATTCTCTCTCTCTCAAATAAATAAAATCTTTAAAAAAAAAAAAAGATCACTTTGGTTGGTGTATGGAAAAAGGGAGAGAGAGCATGGATGGGTTAAGAGATTCAAGGGGCAGCCTTGGCTAAACTGTTGTTGGTGATCTCACTGTATCCACACCCCCCTCTCTATTCCACCCTCTACAGCTGACAAACTGATCCTTCTAAAACACAAACCTAATCACATTCTTCTCTTTCATTAATTCAACCATTTAATCCTTGTAGCCACATAATTTCTTTTTAAGTACTTAGTATGTGCCAGGCACTGTACCAGGCACTACAGAGACACCAACGAATGAGGAGGGGAAGGTCTTGGCCATATTTCAAAATGTTTACACTCCTTAGGTAATCATTTAAGAAACTTGATTCTTTAATCTAGTTCCAACGACTTCATCTCATTCTCCCACTCCTCCAGGCCTTTAAAACCTTGTTCCTCAGCCACAGAGCTACACTTGCCGTTCTGTATGAACCATGCCAAACCTCTGTGCCATGCTGGGCAGTACCCCCTGCTGGGACTGCACCTCTCTGACTGGTGAAATCCTAGCCAGCCTCCAGGGCCAAATGTCACTTTCTCCGTGAAACTCTTCTACTGCCCTAAACGTTCAAAGATCATCGAGTTTACTTCATGGTTTTAGCTCTCCCATGCCTCCACAATATAGTAGAACATTTTGTATAAATAAAGAAAACTCAGATGCCAACCACCATCTTTAACTACCCAGAAAATCAAACACCCCCCCAGTGGTTTCAAACAGAACCAAAGGTGATCTTTGAGACGGTGACACATTTTAGGTGAAAGCACCAGACTGTGTGCCTCAGCCTCTCCTCTGCT